GCGTGAATGGTGTTCCCAAGGGCAAGCGTCCGGTTCTGAAGCGCACCGGAAAGGACAATGCCTTAATGACGGAAAACATTACTGAAAAACGTAAGATTTGAATAAATGTAAAAACATACTTTTAACGTAGACACTAAGACTCGGTATTTTTAAGGTAATAATTTCCCTAAATTCATCTATAAATTTGGCAAGTGTCTATAATAATTAAAATGCTACCAGCTGTTCTGATTCCTAGCTGGCCCGGCTCCAGCCCCTCTGCTTCGCCAGCTCCCTGCTGCTTCCTGGGCCTCTCTGCCTGCCCCTTCCAATGCTTTTCACTCCAGACTGCAAAGCCTTCCTCGGCCTCGGTCTCTCCCCCGTGTTCCTGACCCTACACTCACTACCCGCCCTGGGAACGGGCTTTCCAGGCCGTTTCACTAAGGACACTCCCTTTGCGGACATCCCCTTTGCGGTGATCACACAAAGTCTCTGCCTAAAAAACCCCAAAAGTCCTTTAAAAGCCGCTGGCTCCGACTCCTCACCGGGTGCCGGGGCCGCCCAGGCTCAGCCACCTGGTGTGCAGATGACTGAATCCCTAACTCCTCACCTCCGGCTTGTGCGCTCCGCCTTTGGCAACCCAATATTTGGTGCCGAAGCCCAGGAGGGTTCCACAGGGATGGGGAGCCATTGTCCCACCTTCAGTCACCCCGAGTTTGCTACTCGTCCTGGGCCTCCGAATCCTACTTGGTGACTCCTCGGGGAATCTCTCTCCATTGCTGAGCCCCCACCCAATCTTCTCCAGGCGAGCGCCAGTCTCCCCTCTCTCGGGTGTCCTGCCCTCTCTCTCTCTTACTTCTCGGAAGTCTCTCGTTTGGAAATCCTAGTGCTAGGCCAGAAGACTCCTCAGCCATTTGGCTTTGGGTCCTCCTGGATTGGGGATGCCGTCCAGAGGGTCACTTCTCGGTGATCTGTTTAGCAGTGGGGACGCCTGCCCTGAAGAGTCCCCTTTGGATTTGTGGTCTGTCACTCACCCTTCCTCTGTGAGGCCACGCCACACGCCCTCGGCACACTCGGGGGGAGATCACGCTCAACCACCTCACTTTCTTTTGTAACGCTGTCCACAACGTCAACTAGGTAATAGGTTTCCATGGCCTGAAAGCAGCGCTTTTAACACACTGAGCAATTTAGAGAATTGCCGTCACTGCAATGGAAAATGGCCAGAGATTCCCTAAATCCAAGCCTTTTTCACCCTTAAGTCCCATTCCCCCCCTTCTCCTCCCCGTACCCCCTTTCTCCTGTCTTGCTCTAGCCCATCAGATCTTTCTCCTTCACACAAACATCTTACCCCCAATACTTCTGGTTTCTGAATCTACTCTTGACCAGCAGACCCCAACCTTCACCTTCCCCTGCACTAGATTCCCAAAACCCAGCCCCTCCTAACCAGCCACCACCTTCTCCGCCAGCCCCTGAGAGTCCGATCTGAGAACATGAACTCCAAGCACAGCCTTTCCCATTAACACTGTTCTCAGGCCATGCAAAGATGGCCTTCCTCACCAGCCTCTTCTACTCCTGCGCCCAATCCACCCCGAGGAGGCAGCAGGAACAGAGGACACAGTCTGAGTCCCGTCCCATCTCTATGTCTAGCCTCACGCAGGTGGAGAGGCTCTCAGATCTTTTTCCACTGAAACCCCATCCAGGCCTTACAAAAGCCTAGAGGACATCACCAAGTTTAGTTCACATTCAGGGACAGGCTCCCTAGCGCTGTCTCCCTCCAGAAGAGAAGACAGGAGAGACGGGGCTAGGGTTCTTTCTGGAGAGAGAACGTTGTTTTTCTGTTAATCAGTCTGGCCCACAGGGATGCCACCCAGAAGTAACAGAGAGGGCCGCAAAGGTCAGGGAACGGCCATCAGACTCATGGGCGACTGGCTAAGGAATGTCAATTGGTGCCTGGCCCCTTCCCTTCCCATTCCTGTTCCTCATCCTGCTTTTTGGCCCGTGTATTCTGCGCCATCTTTCATCTTTCCTCCAGGACCACTTCCACCAACCAGCCTCTCCGGGCAATCATGCTGCTACAGCCCTTCCCCCATCCAGAAGGAACCTGTACACCATTCCAGCTGACGACAGTCAGAAGCCACCCCTGTGATCTCCGTGTCCAGGTTCAGCAGGAAGTAATTAGAGAAGCTATAGACTTCGTCGCTGTTCCATAAAACAGAAAGGCTGGCATGCTGAGCAACTGAGTTGGTACCGCTCCCCTGGGAGCTGGCTTTTCAGGCCAGTTCACTAAGGACATTCCCTTTGCGGAGACCACGTTTCACTGGTGGCGATCACATTCCATTCTCTCCCCTCTGGGAATGCACAAAGAAGCCTCCATCCAGAAAAAGCCTGCCAACAGTCCTTTAAAAGCCACGGACTCCCGTAACTGGGGGCTGGGCCATCTGGGGCTCAGCCACCTGGTGTGCAGATGGTCGAATAAATTCGTAATCCCTCATCACTCCGGCCTCGTGCTTTCCTCCTTCAGCGACCTAACACTTACCAAATACTAAAGCATCTACTATGTGCTAGTCCTTGGAAATATATGCATACTCTCAAAACACAATACGTCCAAAACAGAATTTATCTTCTCTCCGGGAATCTTTATTTCTGTTCTAGTTCCAATTTTGAGTGAACAGCGCTATCATCCACTTAGTAGCCCAAACCAGAGCGGGGACTCATTTGACTTCTCCCCACCCTCCAATCAGAATATTTCCTCTAACCCTGACTCCCTCTTACCTTTCAAAACTGCTCCATTTCTCCCCCTTTACCCCAACCAGTGTTGGTTTCATCATCTCCATTACTCAGAAAGTACCAGGTGATGCTATTGGTAACAAACTCAAACCTCAAAACAAAGGCTTATTATTGTTTTTTTTTAAATATATATTTTATTGATTTTTTACAGTGAGGAAGAGAGAGGGATAGTTAGAAACATCGATGAGAGAGAATCATCGATCAGCTGCCTTTGCACACCCCCTACTGGGGATGTGCCCACAACCAAGGTACATGCCCTTGACCAAAACGAACCTGGGACCCTTCAGTCCGCAGGCCTACACTCTATCCACTGAGCCAAACCGGTTTCACCCAAAGGCTTATTTCTACAAGTCTATCCTGGCAGAAGGAAAAGAGAGTGAACCATGTGCTCTTTTTTTTTTTTTTTTTTTTTATTGTGGTAAAAATAAATAACATAAAACCTTAATACACTTTTAAATGCACAGTGAAGTATTGTTAACTATATGTGCATAGTTATACAGATATTTTTTAAATATATATTTTTATTGATTTCAGAGAGGAGAGAGAGAGGGAGAAAGAGAGAGAGACACAGACAGACAGACATTAATGAGAGATAACTTACTGATCAGCTGCCTCCTGTACGCCCCACAATGGGGACTGAGCCCAAAACCCAGGCATGTGCCAATGACCTGAAATTGAACTGTGACCTGGTTCATAGGTCAATGCTCAACCCCTGAGCGATGCAGGCTGGGCAAATCTTTGGAACTTTCAATCTTGCATAACTGGCATCCCGTTCCCACTGCATAAAAGCTACCCCCCCCCCCCCCCCCCCCAGATCCTGGCAGCCACTCGCTGCTTCCTGCTTCTATGAGTGACTGCCTTACGTACAACCAGGAGTGCAGTCAGAAGACAGTGTTTGTCTTTTTGGGACTGGCTTATCTCAGTACAATGTACTCAAAGGTCATCCATGTGGCTGCATGTACAGAATTTCCTTATTTTTCAAATGCTGACTAATATTCCACTGTATGATAGATTACATTTTCTTTATCCATTCATCCACTGATGGACATTTAGACTGTTTCCATTTACATGCTTATTCTGAATAATGCTGCAATGACTACTGAAGTGCAAGTGTCTTTTCAAAATTGTTTTTAAAAATGTTATTTACTTATTTATCTATTTATTTATTTTTTAGAGAAAGAAGGGAGAGGGATAGAGAGATAGAAACATCGATGAGAGATAAACGTCACTGATCAGCTGCCTCCTGAAGGCCCCCTACTGGGGATCGAGCCCAAAACCCAGGCCTGTGCCCTGACAGGGAACTGAACTGGCTGGCTAGCACACTGTCCTGATATGCCAGGGTTGTGAGTTTGCTCTCCAGTCAGGTCATTTAGAAGAAATAACCGATGATCCACAAATAAGTACAACAACAAATTGACATTTCTCTCTTTCTCTCCCCCTCTTCCCCTGTCTCTTCAAAAATCAAGAAAAATAGTCCAGGTGTGGTTCAGTGTTTGTGTTGATCTATGAACACAGTTCAATTCCTGATCATGGCATATACCCAGGGTTTCGGGATCAATCCCTGGCGTGGGATGTGCAGGTGGCAGCCGACCAATAATTCTATCTCATCATTGACGTTTCTCTCTCTCTCCCTCTCCTTTCCTTTCTGAAAAAATAAAATAAATAAATAAATATATACATATATTAAAAAATAAAAAAACAACTCCTCTATGTGATAGCTCACAAATTTTAAGACATTCTTAGTACACAGAATAAGAGTCTGATTAAAGAGAAGATTTTCAACAATGAGGTGACTGAATAGCTTTGGTCTCACCCAATACAATCAGTTCTTATGCGATCATCTGAGTGAACAATATACCAAACATGACAGATTGCCACCATGATGCCCAGCTCTTTACCCAAAGGAGTTTTGGCATAGCGAGGTGATGAAAAGAGAAACCAAGAATAAAGCTGGCACCGTGGAAGCAACAGGAAACTCTCTACATCCACAATACAGGAAGATGGCACACAACAGACCCACACCCTGGATGCAACTCCACGAGGGGCTCCGTCTCTGAGCCATGTCAACCACCATCCACAGAGTACCGACCTTCGTTTGCTTCCACAGAAAAGAGAAAAAAGAAAGAGCACTCAAACCCTTCTCACAGGTCAGCACACAGATAACCGGCAGATGTGTGTGCCCCAGGGTAGCTCCAACCTTAATTCAAATAGAAACGTAGAGAAAGCGCCCTCCTTACCTTCCGGCAGCGGGGATTGGGACAGCTGAACCTCTTCACGTCGCTGTCCAGCAGGGCGGGAAAGCTGCAGGAGGGGCACCTAGAGCCAACGGCAGAGGACCGGCATCAGAACAGCTCACTGGCGTGGCTCCGTGTAACTGACACCACGACGGGCTTTGCAGCGCTCGCCACCTCTCTCACGCCTTACTTTGCATTAAAACGTGGACTGAGGCTCGCCTGTGCGCTGGCCCTGAGCAGAAAATGCGGGCCGTTCTGGGTCCTCCTCAGTGCAAACCACCCAACAAACATACATCTGAGAGCGCCTCACAGCCGTCACTTCCCTCCACCCAATGAACAAAGTTTGTACACACAGCCAGGTGGCTAAGAGAAGCCAAGGGATGTAGGCAACCATCTGAAGTGCAGGTGTTTTCCATTAATAAATTATTCTTTTATTGCTCAGCAAGAAGGGCCAGAAAAACTGGAAATAGAGCTTTGTTACAGGAATTCCATCACCTGACGAAGTGCTCAGCCGCCTTCCCAGCGGAGAATGAGCTGGCCCTCACCTGACAAGCTCGTCGGCGTAGGCCGCAGTGACTTCCTCCTCGGCCTTGCGCTCGTAGTATTTACACAGGATGGTCTGGGGAAGCACCTTCTCCAGTTCGCTGGTTGGGAAGGAGCATGTGCAGCTGCCTTCCATGCAGCTAAGCTCTGACTAGAATGAGGAGGTCAGGAGGCAAAGAAGGGGAAAAAAGAAAAGTTAACCAAGGTCTCAAAAAAATGAACAGCCTCAGTAGTTAAATGCATCATAAGCAAATAAACTGTGATTAAGTACACAGGTTGTGAGATTATAAAGATCTGTCTTCTGAGAAACCACACTCCAAACAAGGAAACCATGAAACAAAAACACAAGTCCAAATGGGATTTCCCCAAAAGGCCTCTCGCAGCCCAAAGCACAGCGCAGGGCGATGGGAGTGGAGGGTAAGGCTGAGCAGGCTGAGGGGAAGGTCACAGCACAGTGTCTGAAAAGGAGCTACCGAGAGCAGCCAGCTGGTTCCCGCGCTGGACAGCCTCTGCAAAGGCGGGAGCTAGACATCGTGGGAGGCGGATGTGAGCGGCAGGAGGACAGGGGCGGGAACCGACAGCGATATAAACTGAAAACGGGAGGTTGGTTGAAGAGCCCCCAGTCCCCACGCCGTCAGATGCTGTCGGGTGATAAAACTCCTCAGGAGGAAGGACAGCCTTTGGAGCAGCTGGAGCAGAGGGCTCTGGACTTCATCTGTAAAGCCACTTCCAGCTCGCTGAGCCTCACATCACAGCACTCTGACAGTTTTGCTGCTCGTGTCCATATTAAGGACCCTTACAGTGACAGCGGGCCCACCTGAATAATGAGAGCAATCTCCCTATTCTGAGGTGCTCCGATTAGCAGCCTCCATTTCCCTTTGCCACATAAGGCAGCATATGCATAGGTTCTGGGGCCAAGGAGGTGGACATCACAGCCACTCTGCTCATTATTACTCAGTCCTTCACTAAACCATATCTGACTTTAGAATATGATGAGTGATTTGATTATTGGTTGTTTAGGAAATTTGGTTTTAAAGTATTCACCCAGGCAAAACATAACTCCTTCCAGTGTTACTTTCTAGTGTTGAGAGAATGACTCTGGCAAGAGAAATGTGGTCTTGTATAAAATAGTTAACTGATTGCTTGACTGGTTTGGCTCAGTGGATAGAGCGTCAGCCTGCAGACTGAAGGGTCCCGGGTTTGATTCCAGTCAAGGGCATGTCCCTTGGTTGTGGGCACCTCCCCAGCGGGGGATGTGCAGGAGGCAGCTAATCGATGTTTCTAACTTTCTATCTCTCTCCCTTCCTCTCTGTAAAAAAATCAATAAAATATATATATTTTTAAATAGATAACTGATTGTAATCCTATTAATAAAAGGCTATTATGCAAATCATTCCTTCAGGAGTTGACTGACGGGTAGGTAGTTCAACCACTTGCTATGATGCGCACTGACCACCAAGGGACAGTGTGGAATGAAGGGAGGCTCTGATTGCTGGCAAGGCCTAGGGACCATACCCGTGCAGCAGGCCTCAGGTAGAACTATAAAGTCCTTTAAAAAAAATCAGTTAGCCCTAGCTGGTGTGGCTCAGTGGATAGAATGTTGACCTGCAGACTGAAGAGTACCAGGTTCGATTCTGGTCAAGGGCACATGCCTGGGTTGCAGGCTTGATCCCTAATAGGGGACATGCAGGAGGCAGCAGGTCAATAATTCTCTTTTGTCATTGATGTTTCTATCTCTGTCCCTCTCCCTTCCTCTCTGAAATCAATAAAAAAAAAAATTTAAGTCAGTTAAAATTACTAATTTGCACTCACATATTCAAACAAGAATAAATTCTTTATTTCAACTTTCATTATTCTTTATATATTTTTATTGATTTCAGAGAGGAAGGGAGAGGGAGAGAGAAACATCAATGATTAGAGAATCATTGATTGGCTGCCTCTTGCACGCCCCCTACTAGGGATCAAACCCACCACCCAGGCATGTGCCCTTCACCAGAACTGAACCTGGGTCCTTTCAGTCCACAGGCTGACACTTTATCCACTGCGCCAAACCGACTAGGGCTCATCCTTCATTTTTTTTATGAACAGGAGGATGAGGGAAGAAGCTGGTCCTCCATGGCATGGAAGAATGCCACTCCCTGAAAAGGTATCTCCTATGCTTAGCACCAACATAACCACGCAAATCAAGGACCGTCTAGGAATCACACACAGTCACATGCCTCGGCAGCGCCCACCTCCCGCCAAGAAAGGCACTTCCATGAGGTATTCACACTTGTCGATAAACGTGGTCTCCACGGACTGTGCATGTTTCTTACCTGTGGGCAAATTCCACAGTTCTTACCTTTCCAGATCCAAAGACCGCCTCCTGGGCATATCTGATGAGACATTCTTTGCAGAACAAGTGAGCATCGGCACACTGAGTCAGCTCCTCAAATGGAAATTCCCCGTAGCAGCAGCGGCACTCAATCAGCTGACCATCCTGCAGGCCACAAACACACATGAAAATTCCCCCAATTCCAGGACAGAGCCCGCAGGTTTCAGATTCCTCCTCCCATACGCCCCCAGAGGTAAAGAGCAGCCCGGGAAGCCATAAAACCTCCAGGACCTGTTTTCCACTGTATAAATGTAGCTTGAGATGGCAGCACAAATTTTCTTTTTGGGCAGCACAAATATTAATACATAGTTAAAGAGAGTGAGATTTTCACTTTTTTGGCATCACCCTTTGTTTAATGTTATCCTATTCATGAAGTCCACGGTGCTAGCAGACCTGTACCATCTGCAAGCAGATTATACCGCTAATAGGATTCTACGAGTCAGGGAGGAGTGGCATGACCGCTATTAGCTAAAAAGCTTCAAAAGTTGGATTTTCTCGCCTGGCTGGTGTGGCTCATTGGTTGAGTGTCAACCTATGAACCAGGAGATGTGGGTTCAATTCCCAGTCAGGGCACATGCCCAGGTTGTGGGCTTAGTCCCCAGAGTGGGGTGTGCAGGAGGTAGCCAATCAATGATGTCTCCTTTGCTCCTTCCTTCTCCCTTACTCTCAGAAACCAATTATTTTATACACACACACACACACACATATTTTTTTTTTTTTTTTTAAAGTTGGGTTTTCTCTTCTTGTTATAAGACCGCTGTGTGAGAAGATCACACCCCAACCCAATCTTTACCTTATGGTAAGGAACCACCAAAGCTAGCTGCAGCAGCAATCACAGTTCCTTCAGGTACTGTGAGAAAAGCCACTATGGGAAGAGCAGGTGAGAGTACAAAGCCGCCTGGCCCTGAGGTCACAGAGATCTCTGCCCTCTACCTCGACTAGGAAGCGTGACTTGAGTTCTACATTTTCCTCTGAGAGTTTTCCTCTTTTACTTTCTGCTCATAGAACTCCTGCTCATCCCAACGGATTCTAGGCAATGTTCCTTCACAGGAGAATTTCTATCTCTCCTTCAACTCCCATCCAGTCTGGTATTAAGAGCAACAATGATGTTTCAAGTGTCTGACTGTAACATGGTTACAAACTCAGCAGATCAACAGATTATCCGGGAACCAATGTGCCATCAAAGTGCTGAGGAAATGTGATAAGAAGAGAGTCCATGAAAAATACCAGAATAAATGAATTAAGTTTTCAAAATACCTTCTGATACTGTTCTTCATTCATCTGCAGAGCAAGCAAAAAGTCTTCATGCTGAGGAACAAAAAACCAGACATGCAGATACAAATTTAGTAAAGATGTCACAAACCATTTAGAATTCATTGCAATAGACATAAAAGAGCTATTATTAATGGTCATCTTTTCAGTTACATGACTTAGCAGTTTAAAATTTATCAAATTTTGACCCTCAAAAACATTTTCCAGTACTCTGACAAAGTGGGGGAAACATGCAAAGTGCTTTTGCTGCACCCTGACTATGATGGTTGCCTCAAGCAGAAGCCCTTGTGCCACTGAATGGCAAGCTGCTGAATTAGGCACTTTAAAATGATTGCCAGAGCCGAAACCGGTTTGGCTCAGTGGATGGAGCGTCTGCCTGCGGATTGAAAGGTCCCAGTCAGGGGCATGAACCTTGGTTTCGGGCACATCCCTAGTGGGGGGTGTGCAGGAGGCGGCTGGTTGATGATTCGCTCTCATCGATGTTTCTAACTCTCTATCCCACTCTCTTCCTCTCTGTAAAAAATCAATAAAATATATTTATAATGAAAAAAATAAAAATAAATAAATAAAATAAAATGATTGACAAAAACTGTGGTCATGTGAAATTAGGTATTTGGCAAACATTTTCTCAAAGGGAATTTGGTGATTATTTGTAATCAAGGATAAAATTCTCCATCTCAAGCAGAAATTAGGATTTTTGAGAAGTTGTCTTGATCCATCTGTCACAGAGCTACCTGTCCACCTGTCATTAGGTGACACTGCCTTTTTGAAAAAATGTGTGCATGTTGAAGAAAATGATGACTACTGATACAAATTGGTGCCACTGGCTTGACTCATGCTAAGGCACCATTGCATTTGTTTTATCAGTATAAATTCAACACAGGGAAAAGGTAAATAATGTCTTATTATCACAAGAGATCTGATTTGCAGACCCCTAAAGAGTCTTGGGGCCCTGGCTGGCGTGGCTCAATGGATTGGGCATTGTTCTATGTGCCAAAAGGTTGCTGGTTCGATTCCCAATCAGAGCACATTCCCAGGTTGTAAGTCCCATGCCTGGTCAGGGTGCATGCTGAGGGCAGCCAATCCAAGTTTCTTTCTCTTTCTCTCTCCCTCTCCCTCTCTCCCTCTCCCTCTCTCCCTTTCTCTCTCTCTCTCTAAATAATAAATAAGTAAATAAATAAGTAAGTAAATAAATAGATAAGTAGAGCCTTGGGGAAGTCATGGGTCATACTTTCAGAGCTGCTGGTCTAGACAATACATATTAAACAACCAAGATACATATTATCATTGACTAGCATCTGATGCATATTTGGAAGAATTAAAGAGCTCAGTGGCATTTTTCTCTGGATTTGCTCCACCATTAGGGACTGAGGCAGGTCAAATACTGTGTGCTAAGCTCCAATTAAAATTCTCTGCCATAAATCTGATTTATGAACTTCTAATATTATTTTACCCAGTTTTCCTTTTAAAAACATAACAGTTTACTCAAATCAATCACACAAGACAAAAGGTAAATCTTAAAAGACAGTTTTGTCCTAGCCCGCCAAGCAAACCAGAATCCCAGAAACACATGCCATGCACACCCTCCTACCTCTGCCATCTCTTTGACTTTCTGCTCATAGAACTCCTGCTCTTGCTGCACTGCTGGGTGGAGGGCCCGCCGTTCATAGATCCTACAATGGCGCCGCTTGTTTTCCAAAAAGAACATCCTTTTTTCTATTTTTATGTCACCTGCAAGACATGACAATGCAAAGTCATGCAGATAATTGTGTGCTAGAAACACAGGCAGCCATGCCATTCTCCTGTGGCCTGGACCCCACCTACTTTCTAGACGTACATTTCGTTCCTCTCCTGCATGCGCCCCCATTGGGGAAACTGAGCTCTCGTCCCTCCCCTAACCTCCATGCTCTTTCTGACTTTTGTCTTTTCCCCCTTTCTATACTCCAATTGGAGCATCTCTCCTATCCCCAGTTTAGTGCTGTGTGAATACAGCAGTTTATGACCATGTTACTCTGAGGATAGGTGGGTTTACAGTTTAGGGTTAGTATCAATTGGGCTATTGAACATATGGCTACAATCAGTCAAGCACGCAGGAAGGAATGGAACTGCTGGATCAGCTTTAGAAAACTGTCAGTTTCCCAATGTCAGTCTCCCAATTTACACCTGCCCTCCACCAGCGACGTAAGCGAGTCCCAGTCACTTCACAGCCACATCAACACCTGGTGTTGACAGTGTTCCATTTTAGCATTCTGGTAGGCGCACATACATAAAATGCGTTTTATGTATGTTTTTAAATTTTTTATCTTGGAGATTTCACATACAAAAGCTGAAAGAATAAGACCTATATTCACAATAACACAATAAAAGACAATAGAATCATAAAATATTACATAATATAAAATTGGTCTATTCTGTTGACTGATAATTTTCATTTTCTAAAAACTTGTCTACTTTATCCAGATTTTCTATTTACTCAAAAAAAACCTGTTCTTGCCGGGACCGGTTTGGCTCAGTGGATAGAGCGTCGGTCTGCGGACTGAAAGGTCCAGGGTTCGATTCCGGTCAAGGGCATGTACGTTGGCTGCTGACATATCCCCGGTGGGGGATGTGCAGGAGGCGGCTGGTTGATGTTTCTCTCTCATCGACGTTTCTGGCTCTCTATCTCTCTCCCTTCCTCTCTGTAAAAAGTCAATAAAATATATTAAAAAAAAACAAAACAAAAAAAAAACCTGTTCTTAGTAAATCTTTTGATTTTATCAATATTTAACTATATCAGGTTCCAGATGGCTAGAACTTCCAGGACTATATTGAATAGCAGTGAATAGAATATTCTTCTTCTTCAAAAATATATTTCTATTGATTTCAGAGAGGAAGGAAGAGGGAGAGAAACATCGATAAGAGAGAATCATTGACTGGGTGCCTCCTACACGCCCCACACTGGGAATTGAGCCCTGATTGAGAATCAAACTGTGACCTTCTGGTTCATAAGTCGATGCTCAACCACTAAGCCACGCCAGCCGGGTAGGACATCCTTCCTTGCTCCCAATCTCAGAGGAAGAAGGATTCACCCACTATTAATTATAATATTAGGAACAGATTTTATTGTAGACATTATTAAGCTGAGAAAGCTCCTCTTAATTCCTAACTTTCTGAGAGTTTTAATCTTGTTAAATGCCTTTTCTACATCAACTAATATGACCAGGTGATTTTTCTTTAGTCTATTAATATAGTGTATTGTACTGATTTGTTTTTGAATAATGAACCAGCCTTGCATTTTTGGAATATACTCCTCTTGGACTTGGTACATACTAACAAGAGTTTGACTCAGTTGGCTGAACGTTGTCCTGGGCACCGAAAGGTCCCCGGTTTGATTCCCATCAGGGCACATACCTAGGTTGTGGGTTATATCCCCAGTCAGGGTGCATGTGGGAGACAACTCATCAATGTCTCTCTCACATCAATGTTTCTCTATCTCCCTCCTCCCATCCTCCATTCCTCTCCTTTCCCCTCTCCAATCAATAAAAATATATCCTAAGGTGAGAGTTAAGAACAAAAGTGTATCTCTAAGTCACAAATATTAAACTACTAATGTAAATCAAGTATATTTTCTATTTCTAATTTCCAATGTCGTTAAAGATGACCTAATAAGTGCAATATAAGAACCAGAATCAAAAATTAAAAAGGATATATCTGAAACAAGGGGCTAACATGAAGTTAACAGGAAAAAATCAGATGCATCAAAACTGAGACTTTTGTAAAAGCAAGGTGGGTGAACAGACCAGAGCTTACATATCTGATGTTACATTCTTAGGCTGAATGGACTGACATACAGATTCAAAATCCCAGCTGCTGTCTTTCCACAGCAGATCTCACTTGGAATACTTTGTCTAGCCCAGTACACAGAACTTTCAGAGAGATACTGACAAGCCAGTGAAGTGCACACAGAGACGGAAAGTCAGGAAGATGAAGTGACAACAGACAGACTCCCAGTCTTTCCAGAGGCAAGAGCTACCACCACAGCAGGAAATTCCAGAGGCAAGAGTGTGTGGGAAGGGACGGTTCTGCAGAGCAGCAGCACACAGTTTGCCGTTACCTTGTTCAAACTTGAAATCTATGTAAGAATACTGATTCATTTCTTTTCTCTTTTTTCTTTTTCCACTGGTTTCTGGTGATAGCTCCTGCCATTTTTTAATAGCATCAGAAAAGGCCTAAAAATTGAGAAAGGGAAAGATTACACTATAAATACGATACGAGACTACCTGGAACACAGGCAATCCCCAAATTTCATTTTGACTCAGTTGCTTCTCCCCAACATGGCTTACAGAAACAGGTGGTGGGGAAAACAGGTGCGTTTAATTTTTGTTTTTTTCTGACTTGGATGAACTGCTACAATGGCAGAACCCAAATGCTTGCTGATAAATTAAAGGGCCAGGTAAGAAAACACAAACTGCCCAAACTGTCCTTGAATAAGTACAGGCTAAGTCACAAAACGAATGGCTAGGGAGCTGTATTTCACAGACATTACCTCTATGGTGTTATTCTGGTCAACATTCCTGTTCCACTCCCCACACTCCTTTGTTGCTTTCACCTTGGTTCTGGAGCACAAAATTCTTATCCCAGTGATAATCCCATCTTCCATACCTTTTCACTTCTTCTTTTTTAAATTTAATATTATCATTATTTTTTGTTAATCCTCACCAGAGCCTATTTTCCCCCCATTGCCTTTAAGAGAGAGTTGGGGGTGGGGGAGAGACAAATAGAGGGGAGAGAGGAGAAACATCAATGTGAGAGACACATTGACTGGCTGCCTTCCACATACACCCCAACCAGGAGGTGGGATGTGAACCCACAATCTAGGTATGTGTCCTGACCGGGAATCGAGCCCATGATCCTATGGTGGGTAGCCAACACTCTATCCACTGAGCTTACCAGTTAGGACTTCTCCCTTTTTCTTTTTAGATCTTCCCAATAAACATTTAAATGTGCTCAAGTCTTTACCACTGAAGGTCTAATTACATAGACCAGATAAGTTAGTTGTTCAGAAATGCTTATTTTCAAGACCTGCTAGTTAGAATTCACACCTACACCCCTCAAAGACACCATGTCTACCTTTCTTACCTCATAGCCTTTCTGTTTTCTAGTGAAGATATCTGTTATTTGAGACTGTTGAACCACCACGTCATTTCTCTCCTAGTGCTCTCGTAGACATACTTCTCCTTTATACTACTACTAGAGGCCCAGAGTGCAAAATCGCGCGAGACCAGAGTCCTCCCCCTGCCGCTGCAGGACCCAGCAATGCACCTCCTGGTGACCAGCCGTTTGGTCATCCCGGCATTCTGGCCACTGGCTTTTCATAATATAGACGGTACTATTTTAATATTTTTTAAAATCTCCTCAAAATGAAAGCTCTTTGGAAATAAGTTAATTTGTGTTCCATGATGCCAGTGTCCTCAAGGGGTAATAGCCAGTAAGTGCTCAAAAAACCTACCAGGAAACAGAGGAACAACAGATGCTGAAGCATAATTTTTCCTTTTTCTTTTATTAAAAATATATTTTATTGATTTTTTACAGAGAGGAAGGGAGAGAGATAGAGAGCTAGAAACCTCAATGAGAGAGAAACATTGACCAGCTGCCTCCTGCAGAGCCCCTACAGGGGATGTGCCCACAACCAAGGTACATGCCCTTGACCGGAATTGAACGCGGGACCTTTCAGTCCACAGACCGACAAACCGACTACCACTGAGCCAAACCGGTTTCAGCATAATTTTTCCTTTTACTATTATCTGGCATTTCTCCCTCTAGCTTGCTCATGTTCACAAATCAAATACCCACTGGGGGTATTATTCTGAGAATCAAAGACATAGTCCAATATGGTTTTTAGGATATTTGTGAAAATCGCCAAAGTTCCTTTAAAGGATGACCTAAAGTCACTATGACGGCCCTGGCCAGTGTGGCTCAACTGGTGGGCATCATCCTATGCACTGAAAGGTTGCCGGTTTGATTCCTGGTCAGGGGACATGCATGAGTTTCGGTTTGATCCCTTGTGGGGGATTGTGCCACAGGCAGCTGAAACACAGCCATTGATGTGTTTCACTCACATCAATGTTTTGTGTGTTTTTTTCTCTCACCCTATTTCTCTAAAAAAAACAAAACAATAAAAAAAATCATTAAAAAAACAACACAATAAGGGGCATTTGATGACATAAAAGCTGAAGACAGAAACTGGAGCCTGGGGGAGGGGAGAGTGAGAACTTATAGACTGAAAAGAAAATGAAATGATTCTTGGAATCAGCTTCAAAATAGTCAGGGAGGGAGGAAGTCTTGAGATCAAACAAGACTGGGCAGTCGCTGATAATTACTGAAGCTGAGTGATGGGTTAAGCATGGGTTTACTCTAATACAATCTCTTTTAAAATACGTGTTTGATGTTCATTAATAATACAGGGGGGAATCCAGGGAAGTGTGATTGTCTCACAGTGAACACACGTCCCTACGCTAGCATCATGTCTGAGGAGCAGCGCACGGGAGGAGTCATTGCTCTAATTACAAAGTGGAAGCCTTGTACGTCCTGTCCCCGAGGGTCACTTTCCACAGGCAGGACTCCCATCATCTGCACCAGCCGACCAGATTTCAGCAAGTGCTCCCTCAGCACGCCACCAGTCTCATTAAACAACATGTGAAGTTCCAAACTGCCCACCAAAACAGCAGACACAGAAAGACACAAAGGCCAGGAAGGGAAGGAAAGGGATAAGGAAGATATAAACGAGGGAACAGCCTCCTACCCCAATCACAAGTGGCCTGTGGGATGAGCCTTTGGCAGGGACATCGCTAATGAGAACCCCTTCCCCGACCACTTCTCCTCTGGGCCCCCGGAGCTCAGAACTCGGGAAGGTCCCCCTGCAGCAGCGCAGCGCTAGGAGCGCCTCAAGATAAAAGAGCCCCAGCTTTCTTGCAGTTACAATTTTCGGGCGAAGCTCATTCACTTTCAGTGACAGTACAGGCATTCCCTAGTTAGCTAGCTGGAGGAATGAGATTCAGAAATAGAAACCACTAACTCTGTATTCCCCTCAGAGTACATTCACCTAAATTAACTACGATCAGGAGTTTGCTGACAGGTGCCTGCACGTTCTTGGCAATCTAAAGGTGGAAGGGTCTCAGACTCAGCATGAAGGCACGTTCACCTAGGGTTCACCAGCTTTGAGGTTAAGCGCAGTGGGTGCTTTCACCATTAAAACTCCACTGGAAAAAGCATACTGTGTGCTGGGAACCACAAGAACGTCAGCAGGAGAAATGGGTTTCATGGCAGCAGAGGAGAAGAGGAACAAGCCCAACCCCTGTTGGTGCGCTTCTGTCCGGGCTGACCGCCAGAAGCGGTGCTGTGCGGATGTCACTGATGAGGCATGCCTGCCTCACCCACTAGTGGCCAGCACTCTCTGAGCCTTAGGACAGAGGCCCTCAAAGGGAGTCTTAATTAGCGCCCTGGAGTTGTGGGAGCTTCCAGCAGCTTCCAACTCTTTTCTGAGGCAAACCACCGCTTACAGCGCAGTGCTGCCTCAGGGACCTGAGAGCTGAGCTCCTGGGCAGGACTGTGTGGCCTGCCCTAAGCCAGAAAGCTCAGGAGGGAAGAGCAGCACTGAACACACCCTGCATTCCAAGATAAAATTCATGACCCTCCATGTCTTTTATATGGTCGAGCCAGAACTTCCCTGCTTCTAATGTATTACTTCTTTTCATTCAGTTCTTCCAAACCAGCAAACACCTCAGTCTATTTACTATCTTCACCCCGACAATCTCCTTTGCCCTTTGTCATCATGCACCACCCCGTTTCTGCAAGCTGAACGCTTCACTGTGTTATCCCAGGGAGCCCTCCTCCTGACCCGCCAGGAAGAAGGAGTAGAGCACCTTTCGGGTGATTGCATAGTGTCCTTTGAGCTCATGCAGGGCCCACTTGATGTCCTGGCTGCTGAGCATTTTGAAGTCGGCCATCAGGAGGTCAGCAGCTTGGTTGAAGCAGCGCTGGTCAAGAGGAGCCAATTTCGAATAGTCAAAAAAGTCTACCTTAGGCAACTGAAACCAGAGAGAGGCACATTAGAGGTCAGAGGAAATCATTTGAAGGATTGCTGACTAAAGAACACCTCATTCACAACTACTCTTTAAGGAGGTTACCAGCCCTGAATAGAGATGAAGAAATGGTGATTCAGAGAAATTAAATGACTGTCTGGAGTCTAGAAATAGCTTTACTACTTAGAACAAGTAAAAAAGTATAGCTGGGGATTTGAACCCCATCTTTCAGCCATCTTCTTCCCACAAAAATATTTAGAAAGTTAAATTTTTCCTGCTATAAAATATGTAAAAGAGCCGAAAATGGTTTGGCTCAGTGGTAGAGCGTCGGTCTGCGGACTGAAGGGTCCCAGGTTCGATTCCGGTTAGGGGCATGTACGTTGGCTGCGGGCACATCCCCGGTGGGGGGTGTGCAAGAGGCAGCTGGTCGGTGTTTCTCTCTCATCGATGTTTCTAGCTCTCTATCTCTCTCCCTTCCTCTCTGTAAAAAATCAATAAAATATATATTTTTAAAAAAAATATGTAAAAGAGGTTAATCAAAAGAATTTGTGGGAAATAAGACGGAGCAACAGACCCCAATGAGGCAGTTCTGAACTATACTTTCCTTCACCACTTACCCTAAATGCTCCTTTGGACCACAAGTGAAGATAATGATTAATATATATATATATATATTAATATGTGTGTGTGTGAGTGTTTTTGTATGTGTTTTTTTCTTAATCCTCACAGGAGGATATTTTTCCATTGGTTCTAGAGTGGGAGGGAGGGGGAAAGGGAAAGAGGATAGACAAACATCGGTGTGAGAGTCACCTCAATTGGCTGCCTTCCACACATGCCTCTGCTAGGGTGGGGAAATTATAACCCAGGTTTGTGCCCTTGACCGGGGATGGAACCTGCAACCCTTTGTTTCATGGGCCAACATTCTAACCACTGGCACACAGGCCCAGGCAAAAATTTTTTTTAAAATCTTCACTGAAGGTTATGTTTATTGCTTTGAAGGCAGGGGAAGGAAGGAATGGGCGGGGAGGGTAAGAGAGAAAAATGAACCTGCAAACTAGGTATGTGCCCTGACTGGGAATCAAATATAGGCTGACACTTCAAACAGTTGAGCTATCAGTCAGGGTGATAATTATTAAGATTTAAAAAGTCAAACTTATATGTACAAAGATGATAATTTAATTTTTAAAAAAGTCAAACTTTATATGTTCATAAGGATTTGGTTACACAGGTGTATGCATTATATGTAATCTTACATTATATATTTATTTTTTAATTTAATTTTATTTTTTTATTGATTTTTTTACAGAGAGGGAGAGGGATAGAGAATTAGAAACATCGATGAGAGAGAATCATCCATCAGCTGCCTCTTGCACACCCCCTACTGGGAATGTGCCCGCAACCAAGGTACATGCCCTTGACTGGAATCAAACCCGGGACCTTTCAGTCAACAGGACAATGCTCTATCCATTGAGCCAAACCGGTTTCGGCATGTAATCTTACATTAAAACAATCAACAGCCCAGTCGATGAGGCTCAGTGGTTGCAGTAGGATTCCTGGTCAGGGCAGATGCCTGGGTTGTGGGCTCAATCCCCAGTAGGGGCGTGTAGGAGGCAGGCTATCAATGATTCCCTCTCATCACTGATGTTTCTATCTTTCTCCCCCTCTCCCTTCCTCTGAAATGAGTAATAAATTAAAAACAAAAACTATAAATAGCTTTGGCCAGGTGGCTAACTTGGATGGCATGATCCCATTCACCAAAAGGTTGTGGGTTCGATTCCGGTTAGGGCATGTAACTGGATTGTGAGTTCAATCCCTGATTGGGGTGTGTATGCGAGTAACCAATCAATGTTCCTCTCTCTTCCCCTTCCTCTCTAAAATCAATAAACCTATCTTTGGGTGAGGATAAAACAAACAAAAAACTATAAACAGATACTGAACTCTAGGCGATCTGCAGGCTGAGGTATGTTTGCAGCAGTATACTGATGCCTTAGAGCTTTACCTTTAAGTCCATTATAATGAAATGAAATATAAGGAAGAGCTGCTAATGGACAGAGGGACAGATAGGTGACAAAGTGGATACAATAAAATGTTAACTTTTGACTTTCTGGAAGATGGCAGCATAGGTAGACACCTAACTGCAGCCTCACACAACAATTTCAATAAAATACAACTAAAATACAAAATGGACATTACCCAGAACTACAGGAAATTCTACAACGAGAAGGAAAGAGAAAACCAGAAGGAAAATCAGAGGAGCTGTAAAAGCCTAAGGTATGGAGACACTCTGTGCACGCGGAAAGGAGCCGGAGAGGAGGGGGAGGTTGAGTGCCTGCTGGCGTTCCCTATCGGGAAGGAGATAAAAGCTCCGGACTGTGCTGAACCCCAGTTCCGACAGCACTGAATCCCAGTTCTAGGCCAGACCCTGGGGACCCAGGCTCACACAGAGGGAGCCTGGGCTAAAAGGCAGAAACCCAGTAGAGCGGCGAAAGGAAGTCCCGTAGGCGCACACATTGTGCGCAGAGATCAGACGGTTGACTGTGCCACAGGATTGCCCTAACGGGAAGGTGACAAAAGCTCCATACTGCTCTGAACCCCATTTCCAACCCCATTTGCAACCCCATTTGCAACTGAACTGAACTGAACCCCAGTTCCGGGCTCATTGGGGGAGAGCCTAGACTGTTTGGTAGTGGACGAAACTCGAGGGCACCTTTCTCTCAGAGGTGCTTGCAGCGAGTACCAAAGGACACTGAGGAATACTGAGACTCGGAAACTTCATAGGGAGGGGCTGCCGGAAGCCAAGGCTGTAGGCTCCACCCTGAAACTCCGCCCTATCCAAGCTGAGCACAGAGGCTTTTAAGGCTACCAACTCAGGGAAGCTGCAAAAATGCCAAGACAAGGAAACAGATCAAAAACAAAAGAAATGGAAGACAAAACGCGACTGAATATAGAGTTCAAAACCATGCTTATAAGGTTTTTCAAGAATTTCCTAGAAAAGGCTGATAAAATAAACAAGTCCTATGAGGATATAAAAGGGATCAAGAAATAATAAGGGATCAACTAGAAATAAAGAATACATTGTCTGAAATAAAAAAATATTATACAGAGTCCTAAAAACAGAATGGGAGATTGCAAGAATCAAGTCAAAGATTTGGAACACAAAGATTTAGAACACAGAAGACACTCCTCCGCAGAAGCAAGAAGACAAGAGAATCCAGAAAGTTGAAGATAATGTAAGAAAACTCTGGGACAACTTCAAGCGAACCAAGATCAGAATTATGGGGGTCCCAGAAAAAGAGAGAAAGCAAGATACCGAAAACATACTGAAAGAAATAGTGACAGAAAACTTCCCCCACTTGGTCAAAGAATTAGACTTACAAGTCCAGGAAGCCCACAGAACCCCAAACAAAAGGAATCTAAAGAGGACCACACCAAGACACATCATAATTAAAATTCCAAGAGCAAAAGACAAAGAGAGAATATTAAAAGCAGCAAGAGAAAAGCAGGTAGTTACCTAAAAAGGAGCACCTATACGATTGTCAGCTGATTTCTCAACAGAAACCCTGCAGGCTAGACGGGAATGGCAAGAAATATTCAAGGTGATGAACAACAAGAACCTACAGCCAAAAATACTCTACCCAGCAAAGCTATCACTCAGAATCGAAGGCAAGATAAAGAGCTTCACTAATAAAAAAAGCTAAAGGAGTTTATCACCGCCAAAACAGAATTATATGAAATGCTGAAGGGGATTCTTTAGAAAGAGAAAGAAAATAAAGATAAAAATTATGAACAACAAATACAAAACTATCAAGTGAATCTAAAAACCAAGGGAATTAAAAAACCTGATGAACAATATTAACTGGTGAATATAATAGAATCAGAGGTATGGAAAGGGGGTGGACAGACGATTTTCAGGGAAAAGGGGAGTGGGGGTGTGGGAAGAGACTGAACATAAACTGTGCACCTATGGATGAGGACAATGGGGGTGAGGAGAGGGCAGAGGGTGGGGTAGAACCTGGTGGAGGGAAGCAATGGAGGGGGGGAAAAATGAGGAACATTTGTAATAATATGAACAATAAAGACTTATTGTTTTTTTAAAGTTAACTTTTAAAATACTGCTGGATATATAGTTGATCAATATAAAATCTTTCCATAGGACTCATATTAAAATTTTTCATGTTTTCAATTTTAAATGTTTAAAAAATAACTGAGATGATACCAAAAATCCTGACCAATTCTTGTTTCAAGTTAGGAACTTATTTTGTAGGATGAGAGATATGGAGGATTTGTGAGAAAGGGGAGAATTAAATACAGAATTCAAAGTGGCTCAGATGGGCAAATCCCACTAAAGAATAAATATATTCTGAAATTCTATTTTCCTGGCTAATCTTTAAAAATGTGTCCTGACAAATCACTTTCTTCTCATAAAGACAATGAAAAGAAGCAGAGCATTTCCAGGTAGAGACTGCAAACAAGAACTCAATACTTGCCTTTATCTCATCTTGACTAGCAAGCAGGCTGCTACTAGGGTTGATAATGACTCGATCTTCTCTCTTTGGATAATCTGGGTTTTCCAGTAGAAAATTACAAAGTCTGAAAAAATAAATGAGGTTATTTTCATACTGTTTCCAAATCCCACACCTGCCCACGAATCAAACACAATGTTTGAAAAATGAAGTTCTGCCTGGCCAGTGTGGCTCAATGGTTAAACATTGACCTATGAACCAGGAAGTCACAATTTGATTCCTGGTCAAGACACATGCCTGGGTTGTGGTCCTGATCCCTGGTTTTGGGTGTGCAGGAGGCAGCCAATCAATGATCCTCTCTCATCATCAATGTTTTTCTCTCTCTCTTCTCTCTCTCTCTTTCTCTGTCTCTCTTTCCTCTCTGAAATCAATAAAAACATTTATTTTTAAAAAATGGTTCAATTATAAATTTTTATGTTTTAGTACCAAAAAAAAAAGAAAGAAAAAAAGGCATGGTGGTATACTCACACATTCAAATCATAATAATTCTTCAAATGAATTATTTCCTCAATATAGCCAGGTGCTACATCTGGAAATCTTGCTTCCTGGAAAAGAATAAAAACATTATGTTCATTTCATCCATTAGAATGTTTTCAAATTGCAATAAAAATCTGATGTCAGCACTAGCTGGTATGGTTCAGTGGATAGAGCATTGGCCTGCAGACTGAAGGGTCCTGAGTTCGATTCCAGTCAAGGGCACATGCCTGGATTGTGGGCTCGATCCCCAGTAGGGACGTGCAGGAGGCAGTAAATGATCTCTCTCATCATTGATGTTTCTATCTCTCTCTCCTTTCCTCTCTGAAATCAATAAAATTATATATTAAAACACACACACACAACACAACACAACACAACACCAGATGCCAAATAATTACAAACTAGGAAAGGGCTATAAAGCAAGTTTGTGTCTAGCTTAAAACTTCACACTAGGAGCCCAGATTTATCTGTCTACATAGAATATGGAAAGACCCCTGGGATCATCTGGTCCTACGCTCCCATTTTGTAATGTCCTGCATTCTTTCAATAAACATTGAACATTTCTGCCAAGCAAAGGGATTCAAAGTGGAATAAAGTACAAACTAGTGCTTACCCTCAGAAAGCACACAACCTAGTGGGCCAATTGAAAAAAACCTAGTGAAGAAGGGTTAGGAGAGTGTCCAAAGGCAATGGGCAGCAGGATCAGGACATAACCCCTGTACTGTTTATTTTTCTGAGAGAGAGAAACATTAATATGTTATCCACTTATTTATGCTTTCATTGGCTGACTGGGATTGAGCCCACAGCCTTGGTGACTCTCTAATCAACTGAACTATTTGGCCAGGGCTCTGCACTAGTTTTTATTTTTATTTTAAAATATATTGTCATTGATTTCAGAAAAGGGAGAGAGATATAGAACATCAATGATGAAATAGTTGATCAGCCGCCTCCTGCACGCTCCAAGTGGAGACTGAGCCAGGAATGTGTCCTGACCAGGAATCTACCTGTTACTCTCTACTTCAGAGGTCAACACTCAATCACTGAGCCGCACTAGCCAGGAAAAGAGGGAAATGTTCTGCTCTGTGCTTTCCAATATAGTAGCTGTTCGTGCCCATGTGACCATCAAACACTAAACATGTGATGAGTGGCAATGAAAACAAAACTTTAAATCTTAGACATTTAAGCTTAGCCAGCTGCATGAGGCCACCACATTGGACAGTGCGGCTCTAGGTAATCTGGTAAACCTGCTTTACGGTTTGACTCTGGAGTTAACTCAATGTCTTTTTTAAAACTGGGGGGACTGCCCTTATGACAGCACCAAGTTATCCTTAATCTACAGCTACAATCCCAAAGGGCTTGTTGGGAATTAAAAATAGATTAAGAAATTCTGATTTAATTTTCATGTTTCTCTTCTTTTCCATAAATGTACCCTCCTTAGGAAAGTGAAGTCCACACTCACAATGTTTTTCCAATAAAAGGAAACAGTATATTTAGTGTCTACACTTACTTACTTAATGAAATCCAACTTACTGTTTCTTTCACTAGCAGTGCAACGACTTCTTGGTCGACCTCATTAGCTTCTTGCCCCCAAAGATGTTCCAAATTGGGCTCCTGAAAGGCTGGGCCTGGCCCCTCATCATCGTCATCCTCCTCTTCCTCCTCCTCCTCCTCGTCTATTGCGAGCTGCTGGTCTTCCAGCTCTCCCAGAGGGTGGGCGGGCCGAGGAGAGGAGGGGCCGGGAATGCCGTCGTAAGGGGGCTCTGGTCTCGGAAAAGCCGGCCTCGGGAAAGCCAGCCCTAGGGGGCCGTGCTGATACAACAAGGGGCCCAGCTCTGCTTCAGGCTGCCGCTCCCGAGGAACAGCCAGGTTTGCTCTCTCCCGGGGCTGTGGGTTTAGAGACGGGAAGAAAGGAGGGTTTTCTAACCAATAGTCGTCTTCGTTGGTCTGATCATCTAGCATATCAGCTGAGTCTCCGAGGTTTGATAAAAGGTCTGTCTCTGAGTCTTCAGATGACTGGTTCTGAGTGTCCAAAGGATCATTATCCGGAATAAGAAGGTCACTTTTTCTCCAGATGAAGATTTTTGGCTCTGATCCGGAATTGCCAGTATCATTTGTTGCTTGGTTATGACTTGGTCCAGGCTTGGGTTCTCTTTCTGTTTGGCCGCTTGGATTAATTAATTCAGAAACTCCAGGAGGCCCATGATCCAGAAATTCATCGTAGTCATCCTCAGAATCATCCTGTGCCCCAGAATCAAACAATGTGCTGTTATACACTGCAAAATAGTTGTTCTTATTTGATTCAAAGGCTGCTCTAGACTTTTTAGGCCTTTCTTCTCCCCAGCTTTTGAGATCTTGCCAATGGGCAGCTGGTTTGATGAGATTAGGTCGTGATGTTTGAGGTTTACTTGTCTAAGAAAAAATGAAATTTTAATAACAATAATTCAATTTCTTTCCTATGTCTATGACCTCTTTATGTACTTATATGCAGCTTCTGAGATAGGACAGGAAAGAGACAAAAACACCTCAACCACAAAACTTATTCTTCATGCTTGTGGTAACACTAAAATCTGATCATATTATATTCACTATAAGAATAAAAGCATCAAAATCGGTTTGGCTCAGTGGATAGAGCATCAGCCTGCGGACTGAAGGGTTCTGGGTTCGATTCCGGTCAAGGGCATGTACCTTGGTTGTGGGCACATCCCCAGTGGGGTGTGTGCAAGAGGCAGCTGATCGATGATTCTCTCTCATCGATGTTTCTAACTCTCTGTCCCTCTTTCTTCCTCTCTGTAATAAATCAATAAAAAACATATTTAAAAAAATGTAACCCTGCTCAGTGTGGCTCAATTGATCGAGTGTCGTCCTATGCAACAAAGGATCACTGATTTAAGTCCCTGTCAGGGCATATGCTCAAGTTGTGGGTTCAATCTCTGGTTGGGTTATGCAAGGGAGGCAACCAAGCAATGTATCTCTCTCTCTTTTTTTTTTTTTTAATATATTTTATTGATTTTGTACAGATAGGAAGGGAGAGAGATAGAGTTAGAAACATCGATGAGAGAGAGTCATCGATCAGCTGCCTCTTGCACACCCCCACTGGGGATATGCCCGCAACCAAGGTACATGCCCTTGACCAGAATCGAACCCGGGACTCTTCAGTCCCCAAGCCGACGCTCTATCCATTGAGCCAAACCGGTTTCGGCGCAATGTATCTCTCTTTTCGATGTTTCTCTTGCTCTCTCTCTCTTAAAAAAATAAACACAATTAAAAATAAATAAATAATGTATATCCTTATGCTCATCATGGGTTAAGTTTAAGAAAACTCACTTCTGTCAGGATGACATCATCATCCAGGTCCTCCTCCTCATGTCGCTGAGAAGCTGGGGTGACCGTCATTGGAACTCCTTCTTCATCAGAGTCATCAGATATGGTGATGGGTCCATCTCTGAGGTGGATCCAGTCTACAAACAGGCAGAAAACACTGTTACCGGCAGGTGGGCACAATCGCATTCTGTTCTTTAGATTTCAGTTTTGGGATGCAAAAGGTCAAGTCTGAAGCCAAGTTTGTGGCTGGTGGTATCTCAAGTGACACAAATACCTAAGCATTAAGAGCCATGTTTCAAAAAAAAAGCCGTTTCCATGCTAATTTTTGGCAATAATACATTTTGGGAACCACTTGAGAAAATCTGACAATTCCTTATGCTCAAGATTATCAACTTTTTCTTACACTAGGTTGGAAAAATCTTTGATGAATCTGTCAATTTCTTAAAATTGAAGTCTCGACAGCACCTCATCAGGCACCACGGCCGTTCCCCTCCCTAGACGCTCCACAAGGAAGAAGGGACATAAAAGTGGCTGCAGGTGGCTCTCGACAACCAGCGTGAATATCGGTGGGACGGATGTGAATCCCGGCTGGTAACGGCGTCCTACCACCTGACCGGAGAGCAAATCACATCCCCCAACCCCAACTCCCAGGACCCCACTGGTGCACAAATTTGTGCACTGGGACTCTAGTATAACCTATATTATTATTATTTTTTAATATATATTTTATTGATTTTGTAGAGAGAAAGGGAGAGAGATAGTCAGAAACATCGATGAGTGTCATCGATCAGCTGCCTCTTGTACACCCCCTACTGTTGATGTGCCCCCAACCAAGGTACATGCCCTTAACCGGAATCGAATCTGGGACCCTTCAGTCCCCAAGCCGACGCTCTATCCATTGAGCCAAACCAGTTTCGGCTAACCTATATTATTTCAATCCTCTGAAACTTAAAATTTGTTTTGTGGCTCAAAATATGGTCAATTTTGGTAAACACACTGGGTCTATTTCATACATGTCTATTGTTCAAATTTGTTTATCATGTTTTTCCAATATTCTATATTCATATAATTTTTGTGTGTGCTGGGCTCTCTCCCAGTTATTTAAAGAAACATGTTAAAATCTCCCATTATGAGTGTGGATTAGTTAATTTCTTCTAGTTTTGTCAGTTTCTGCTCTGTATATTTTGACACCATGCTACTAAGTGTGTAGGGATTAGAATTGTTTTATCTTCCGAGTGCACTGACTTTATCATTATGCAATCTTATTAATACTCCTGGCTGCAATGTCTATTTTACTTGATAATATACAGACATACCAGTTCTTCTTTATTTTTTTAAGCTACTATCTGCATAACGTATCTTTCATTCCTGTAGTTTTAAACTCTGTTTTACCTTCATATTAAACCTATTTTCAGTAGATTTAGAATTCTAGGTGAATATTATTCACCAATTAAAAAGGATTTAATTACTTACACATGTAACACATGGATAAAATTCATCTCAAAATAAATTATGTTGGGCAGAATAACTCAAGCACAAAAAGTACATGCCACTTTTCTCAAACTCCAACTTCTTAAGATCCAAGGACTATATGCACACAATTCTTTTTTTTTTTTTAATTGAGTTTTTAGAGAGAGAGAGAGTGATAGAAAGCTAGAAACATTGATGAGAGAGAATCATCGATCAGCTACCTCTTGCACACCCCCTACTGGGGATGTGCCCGCAACCAAGGTACATGCCCTTGATCGGAATCGAACCTGGGACCTTTCAGTCCACAGGCCGATGCTCTATCCACTGAGCCAAACTGGTTTCAGCCGCAATTTTTTTTAGACTGTGAATTCATAGCTTATCAATCTACTTTTGATGTAAGCTTCTTAAACTTCAGTCATGCCATTAGGTATCACCATCTGACACAAAATTCTAGTTTGATACATCCATTTACACCTGATGTTCTGAGACCTAAAAATGAGACATCTCTGGATTCTGCATGGTGCAAAACAGGTTCATTTTAAAGAAGATATAACTGTAGTTCTAAGGGGGAAAATGGTGAAAAGGAGAAAGTGAGAACCAACACTTACCTTGTCCCTGGTGGCAGTGAAAGCTGTTCAAGTGAATTACCTCTTCATTATTATTTCCCTCTGCCATTTTCAAATGTGGACATACACATTTGCTTGCTAATATCTAAACATGGTGACTATCTGTTCCAAAGGGACTGAAAAAGATGAAAAAAAGAACAATAAGAATGAAGGAAGTATCAAAACTCTTCCCATGTATCTGGTGAACACACCACAAAAAACAACCACCAACAAACCCTAAATGAATACATGACTAAAAAGCTAATAAAAGAGAAAATAATCCTATATAATAATAGACTAACATGCAACTTCGACCAAATGGCAGAACGACCAGTTGCTATGACGCACACTGACCACAAGGAGGCAGACACTCAATGCAGGAGCTCCCCCTGGTGGACAGTGAGAAAAGGGCTCACTGCTTGTGAGTGCAATGGAGGAGGCAGGAGCCTCTCCTGCCTCGGCAGCAGCTCGTTCCCCTGGGGAGCAGACCTAAGCCGCCATCTCCTGAACTGTGAGAGGGCACAGGCTGGGCTGAGGTACTTCCAAACCAGTTTCGGCAAGGCCTATATTATTACTGTAACTCTAATAAATCCAACTTAAAAACAACAAACAAAACACACGCTCAGATCCGGACAACAGAATGCAGTTACCAGTTGGGAAGGGAGCTAGAGAGAGGATAAAGCGGGTAAAGGGGGTCAAATATATGGTGACAAAAGGAGACTAGACCTTAGGGGGTGAGCACACAATGAAGTACACAGATGTTGTTTATAAAGTTGAACACCTGAAACTTATATAATAGTATTAATCAATTTTACCCAAATAGATTTAATAAAAATTAAAAGTATAATAAAAAGACATTTTCTTCTCATTCTTCTATTTGTGTTACTTCTCCATTTTTCCTTCCAATGCACATTCCTAGAGTTTTGTAGTGTTCCTGCTTTCCATAATAATCTGCATAAATATGCCTGTCACTGCTGTAGACACTGATTTGGGGGTAATAAAAGATATTTCAAATTGTACTGAATCAATCTCTGAACATTCCAGGGAAAGTCGGGCAAAGCAGAGTCAAGTACAGGCTGGGAGAAGGTGACATGCTCATCATACCAGCCCCACACAATGCCTCCTCCTAACATATTTTTCAAGTGTCTATAAATGAATTTTGCTCTTCATTCAAATCCTAGCTTCTTAACCAGTATTTGGATATCCATTCTTTCTAAGCCTGTACTAACATATAATCATTATTAAATCAACACAACAAAAAGTTAATAATAGCCGGGACCGGTTTGGCTCAGTGAACAGAGCATTAGCCTGCAGATTGAAGGGTCCTGGGTTCGATTCCGGTCAGGGGCATGTACCTTGGTTGCGGGCACATCCCCAGTAGGGGGTGTGCAAGAGGCAGCTGATCGATGATTCTCTCTCATGGATGTTTCTAACTCTCTATCCCTCTCTCTTCCTCTCTGTGAAAAATCAATAAAATATTTTTTTTAAAAAAAGTTAATAATGGCTATTTCTAAGTAATAATTTTAAGGTAGTTTATTTTTTGCTTCCTTATATTTTGATTTTTCTACACTAAATTGGTTATTATTTACAATAACACTTAAAATTAAAATATGGTAAAAGAATTCATTCAAACAAATATTTATTGTGGGCCTGCCACATGATGTAAATAATGTGTACATCATGGTGAATAAATATCAAAAAATACAACATGGATCCTGCCTCAAAGAACTTGAGAATCTTTTCAATGAGAAAATCGTAACCTATCCTATATAATAAAAACCCAAAGACTGAACAGTAGGACAACCGGTTGACCAGTGGCTATGACACACACTGACCACCATGGGCAGATGCTCAACACAGGAGCTGCCCCCTGGTGGTCAGTGCGCTCCCACAATGGGAGGGCTGCTCTGCTGACCAGGATGAGCGGCTGCACCCGCAATGGACCGATCCCCGCAGGCCACACTCCCCACCAGTACATGAAGCCTGTGCACTGGGCCTCTAATATGCGTACAACTAGCTATACTAAAAAGTACAAAGTTATTAGTGAAATAAAAAGACTTCCAATTGGGAAGGGCAGGCAGTCAGGAAATGCTTAGCGGAGATAGCAGCATTAAGCTAACTTGAACGTTGTGCCAGCTCCAGGCTTAGCCTGAAGAGGACGCAGCAGCTTCCATCTTGGGCTCTTGAAGCCCAGAGTCACCTTGTGGAAAGCCCTGACACGACATGGAGAGGGAAAGCCCAGTGGAACCCAGTCTTCCCGCAGTCGCTGACAAGGCGAGGGAGTGAAGAAGCCATTTTGGGAGTGGGTCCTCCAGCCCCAGCCACCTTGTTTAACAGCAAGTGGATGAGAAAAAAGCATGGCCCAGGTGAGCACTCCCAATCTCCTGACTCACGAAACTGTTAACAAATCGTTGTATTAAGTCACTAAGTTTGGGTGTGGTTTGCTATGCGTCAATAACTAACTAAAGCTCAAATTTTAGTTATCTATCCAATGGGAAGCAATGGAGAGTTGTGCTTTAAGAAAATCAACCTAGCCCTAAGCAGTTTGGTTCAGTGGATAGAACATTGGCCTGCGGACTGAAGGGTCCCAAGTTAGATTCCGGTCAAGGGCATATACCTTGGTTGCAGGCACATCCCCAGTAGGGGGTGTGCAAGAGGCAGCTGATTGATGTTTCTCTCATCGATGTTTCTATCTCTCTATCCCTCTCTCTTCCTCTCTGTAAAAAAAAATCAATAAAATATATTTTTTTTTAAAAGAAAGAAAGAATAAGGCAGGTGATGAATTCAGAATAAGAAAATTCATTGCATGATATTTTTAACACATAGACAAAAATGAAAGATCTAAGGTACAATACTATCTATAATTACATGTATAATTATGCAAACAATTAGTATCGAGTTTAAGCAGAGTTTTAAAAAGCTCTAAAAATCCTGTTATCAGTATCTTTCTACAATAGAAGTTTTAATAAAAAAATTAAATTAAAAATCTTCATTTGGGAGGAGAAACCAATATGGCGGCATAGATAAATACCTAAACTGTTGCCTCACACAACAATTTCAAAACTACAACTAAAAGACAAAACGGACATCAACAGAACCACAGGAAGGCTGGCTGAGTGGAAATTCCACAACTAGAAGAAAAGAGAAAAGCACACTGAGACTCAGAGGAGCTGCGGAAGGCAGAGGTAGGGAGGCACTCTTGGAATAGGGCTGGCTTTCTCAATTGGGAGGGAGACAAAAGCTCCCAACTGCTCTGAACTCCAGTTCTGAACGAGACTCCGGGGACCCACTCATACGGGAGAAACTGGACTGTCTGGCATCGGGTGAAACGAGAGGGCGGCTTTCCCTCAGAGGTGCTTGCAACAATTACCATGGGACACTGAGATCCAGGGACCTCTTAGGACAAGGCTGATGGGAAGCCATTGCTGTTTGCTTGGCCCTGAGACTCTGCCCCATCCAAGCTGAATGCAGAGGCTTTTGCATATGAATGCCCTGGTCCTTTGAATTCTAAACTTACCTAACGAACTGCAGCTGAGTCAGTGAGACCAAGAACATCCAAAAGAAGGCCCAAGGCCCCACAGCAGCTTGCACTGCTTCACAGCTGGGCCTCATCTGGGCACCTCCAAAACCCAAACAAAGAAGAGGAATCTGTAGGTCTCTCTGTAGCTCCTGCTGGGTGGTCTCAGGCAGAGGCTAAATTAGCACCTCTTTGGAGATCCAAGAGACAGTGTACCCAGGGGTCAGCATGGAACCATCCAGATTACAACTCCTCAGATCTATAAGGGACACACTCAGGAGGCAGGCTCAGTGAGCACCAAAGTCCCACTAAAGCAAGTCTTATCTCATAAGGGTATCTCCAGCATGGAAGATCTCCCATCATAGACACAGATGAACCTCACAGCTAATTGGCCTGGAGATCAATTCCTCCCAGTGATACCAACAACTGTTATCAAGGCTTAACAACAAGACTGTGCACACAGCCACAAAGAGGTGCACCAAGAGTGTCCACCTCAGATAACTGGATAGGCTGAGGCACTGAGCCTGCCCCTCACAGTCCAGGAGCTCTCAGGGGTGGGAGGTGACCTGGTGATCAGAGGAAGGCGACACCCCATCACACCTCTGCTGCTGCCAGTGCCGGCAGCACAAGCCTTAGCTGGCTCTGGTTATCTGCACCTTGGGTGGCCCTGGGTGGCTAGACCCGATAGGACACCTAGCACACAAAGCCACTGTATCAACTCAGGGAAGCAGCCAAAATGCAGAGACAAACAAAAGGTCAAAAATGGAGGAAAGCAGCCGGGTCGGGTGCGGCCAGGCCCGGAACAGCGGCTGCCAGGCTGGGAGCGGCCAGGCCCGGAGCAGTCGGGTCTGGTGCGGCCAGAACCGGAGCAGCGGCTGCCAGGCTGGAAGCGGCCAGACCCGGAGCAGCAGCAGCCAAGTCCAGAGCAACTAGGTCGGGAGCGGCAGTGACCAGACCCGGAACAGCTGGTTGTGGAACGAACCAGAGCAACAGAGGCCAGGCCCTGAGCAGCCAGGCCCGGAACAGCTCGCTCCTCGCCTGCCCCTGCCCTACAACTGCCTCTCAGACATGGCTGGACTTTCGATGGAACTTGAGGGTCTGCTGAATCAAGTGATGAAGGCTTAGATCTGGATGTGTTGAGTTAGTGTAGGGCTGGGGTATTGATCTGTGAGTGCCTTGGGTGGGGCCTGGATGAGGCTAGTTGACCTTTTGGGAAATGTCTTTTGTGTGAAGTGTATCATTGGGCATGTGGAGGTATTATTGATATGAGAAAATGCTAAGTAACTGATTTACTATCTGAAAAGGGATTTACTATCGGGGAAAGGGAGGGAAGAAGACACTGAACATAAACTGTGCACCTATGGATGAGGACAATGGGGGATGGGGAGGGGGCGGAGGGTGGGGTGGGAACCTGGTGGAGGGGGGAAGAAATGAGGAACCTTTGTAATAATATGAACAATAAAGATTGATTTAAATAAAAATAAAAAAAATCCTTGCCAAGGCGGCAAAATGCAGCCTCCTGTGACACTTGCTGACACCACTAGCCTCACCTC